AAGAAGTCTTTGCTGGTACCTATATCTTGCAGGGTTTCTCCAATGTTCTCTAATAATGTGATGGTGTCGGGTCAAAGGTTTAGATCTTTAATCAAAGTTGAGTGGATTTTTGTGTAAGGTGAAAAATAGGGGTCTTGCTTTATACTTCTGAATGTGGAAATCCAGTTTTCCTAGCACAATTTGTTGAATATGCTGTCCTTGCTCCAGAAATTGGTATTAGCTGCTTGATCAAATATAAGTTAGTTGTAGAAGTTTGGATTAAATTCTATTGTTTCTATTCTGTTCCATTCATCTATCCATCTGTTTTTGCACCAATATCAGGCCATTTTGATTATAACTGCCCTGTAATATGTGTTGAAATCCAGTATTGTGATGCCTCCGGCTTTGTTTCATTGTATAAGATTGCTTTAGCTATTTGAGGTCTGATGTACCTCCATATGAATTTCAGCATCATGCTTTCCAGGTCTGAGAAGAATATCTTTGGTATTTTGATTGGTATCTCATTGAATCTATAAATTGCTTTTAGAAGAATGGACATTTTGATGATATTGATTCTTCCAATCCATAAAGATGAAAGATTTTTCTATTTTTTGTATCTTCTTTTATTTTTTTCTTTAAAGTTTTGTAATTCTCATCATAGAGATCTTTGACATCCTTGGTTAAGTTTATTCTAAGGTATTTGATTTTTTTTTTTTTGTAGCTATTGTGAATGGGATTGATCTTAGAAGTTCTTTCTCGGCTCTGGCATTGTCTATGTAAACAAGGCTGTTGATTTTTGTGTATTGATTTTATCTTCTGCTACTTTACCAAAATCTTCTCTGAGTTCCCATAGTCTATTAGTGGAGTTCTTTGGATACCCTTAAAGAAAGAATCCTGGCATCTGCAATTAGGGATAGTTTAACTTCTCCCTTCCCAATTTATACCCCTTTGATTTTTTTTCTTGCCTAATGGCTCTGGCTAAAACTTCTAGTACTATATTGAATAGCAGTAGTGAGAGTGGGCATCCCTCTCTGGTACCAGATCTGAGTGGGAATACTTCCACCTTTTCCTCAGTAAATATGATGCTGGGTGCGGGTTTGTCATAAATTTCTTTGATTGTGTTGAGGAATGTCTCCTTCACAACCTAAATTGCTTAGAATTTTCATCATGAAAGGGTGTTGTATTTTATCCAATGCTTTCTCTGCATTTATTGAGATAATCATATGATTTTTATTCAGCAGTTTGTTAATGTAGTGTACCACATTCATTTATGAATGTTGCACCATCCCTGCATACCAGGGATAAATCCCATTTGTTCCGGGTGGATGATTTTTTGAGGTGTTGTTGGATTCTATTCACTAAAATTTTGTTGAGGATTTTTGGATCTATGTTCATCAGGGAAATTGGTCTGTAATTCTCTTTGTTGCATCTTTTTCAGATTTAGGAATTAAGATGATGCTTATTTCATAGAAAGAATTTGGAAAGATTCCCTCTCTTTAAATTGTTTTGAATAGCTTGAGAAGAATTGGAGTTAGTTCTTCTTTAAATGTCTGGTAGAATTCAGCAGTTAATCCATCTGGTCCTTGGCTTTTCTTTCTTTCTTTCTTTCTTTCTTTCTTTTCTTTTTTTTTTTTTTTTTTTTTTTTTTTTTTGACAGGCAGAGTGGACAGTGAGAGAGAGAGAAAGAGAGAGAAAGGTCTTCCTTTGCCATTGGTTCACCCTCCAATGGCCACCACGGCCAGTGCGCTGTGGCCGGCGCACCGTGCTGATCCGATGGCAGGAGCCAGGTACTTCTCCTGGTCTCCCATGGGGTGCAGGGCCCAAGCACTTGGGCCATCCTCCACTGCACTCCCTGGCCACAGCAGAGAGCTGGCCTGGAAGAGGGGCAACCGGGACAGAATCCAGTGCCCCGACCAGGACTAGAACCCAGTGTGCCAGTGCCGCTAGGTGGAGGATTAGCCTAGTGAGCCGCGGCACCAGCCTGGCTTTTCTTTCTTGAGAGGGTCTTCATTACTCTTTGAATTTCTGTCTTGGTTATGGGCCTGTTTAGTTTTCTGTGTCTTCATAGCTCAATTTAGGTAGGTTGTATGTGTCCAGGAATATATCAATTTCTGCTAGATTTCCCAGTTTGCTGGCATATAACTCTTTGTAGTAATTTCTGATGACTTTTTATTTCTGTGGTGTCTGTTGTTACATTTCCTTTTTCATCTCTAATTTTATTGATTTGGGTCTTCTCTCTCCTCTTTTTGGTTAGTTGGGTCAATGGTGTGCCAATTTTAACTCCTTCCATTCACCTTTTCTTCCTGGTGTCATTCTGGGCACCTCCAGATATTTCCAAGAGCAAAGAAAATTAATACATCACCTGTAAGTGGTTTTCTTTTTGTAAAAGATTTATTTTATTTATTTGAAAGCAAGATTTACAAAGATAGGTAGAAAGAGAGAGAAAAAAGAGAGGTCTTCCATTTGCTGGTTTACTTCCCAAGTGTCTACAATGACCCGAGCTGAGCTGATCTGAAGCCAGGAGCCAGGTTCCAGGTTTCCCATGTGGGTGTAGGGGCCCAAGGACTTGGCCCATCTTCCACTGCTTTCCCAGACACAATTTTAGGTAATTGGATCAGAAGTGTAGCAGCTGGGACTTGAACTCGTGCCCATTTGGGATGCCAGCACTGTAGGTGCCACAGTGCTGGCCCTTGTAAGTTGTTTTCTTAATTATTCCTCAGCTTGTTTTCATTTTTCATTTTAGGAGATGTGTAATGTTTATTAATTAAAATGCAAAAATAAGTATAAAGTTTATTCTCAGGGAATATACACAAATAAGATTACTGATGAATTTGGAATGATTATGAAACATAGTCCTCTAAGTAAGGCAATTTGGTCTCTTTCTGTTGCCATAGGAAAACATACAATTGTTACATGTTTTGAGTTCAAACTTAGAGTACATTATGCTAATTTTTTGGGGTCATGATGTCCAAAACAGTCTTTATTGTCACATAGATGTTGTAGTGGGCAGTGTTTTAGTGCCACCCTGGAAATAAACACTGAACATTCTGCAAGGGTAAGAGTTACTTAGTGCTAAAACACAAATTAGTTAAGCTTGTTTTTGAATTGTTAGGATAATGCAGTCCTTAATAATTTTGAGGAGCTGAACTAGATTCAGGGATAGGATAAGGAATGTGTGCAGAAAATAATCTACTGCAGGTTGTTTTTTATGATTTATTTATTTATTTGAAAGACGGAGTTACAGAGATTGGGAGAGACAAGGAGAAAGAGATACGTTCCATCTATGGGTTCATCCCCAAGTGGTCACAATGGTCAAAACTGGGCCAGGCCAAATCCAAGATCCTGGAACTTCAGCTGAGTCTCCCACATTGATGGAAGGGACCCAAATATTCAGGCCATCTTTCATTGTTCTTTCAGGCACATTAGCAGAGAGCTGGATTGGAACTGGATAAGCCAGGACTCAAATTATCTGTTCACCTGGGTTGTCAGCATTGCATGTGGAGACTTAACCTGCCACACCACAATGTTGCTGCTTACTATAGGTTCTTAAACAAATCTCTATGAATTTCTTTCAGTAAGTCACAAATGCAGATTGTGCTGCAGACTTTCCCAAGCTCTGATTTTGGGCAAATAGTTACATTGTTTTCACTTTAATTTGATATAATATATTTTTTCTTTTTTTTAATATTTAAGCTTCAATTTTATTTGAAGCCACAGAATTGGAAACCATGTAATATCTTTATTTTTATAGAAACCTTTTATTTAATGAGTACAAATTTCATAAGTAAAACTTTAGGAATGTAGTGATTACTCCTACCATACCTGCCCTCCCACCCTCACTCCCACTCCACTTCCTCATCCCTCTCCTATTCCCAGTCCCATGATCCATTAAGATTCATTTTTAATTAACTTTATACACAGAAGACCAATTCTATACTAAGTAAATATTTCAACGATTTGTGTGCACACACACATACACAAAATATAAAAAACTATTTGAGAACAAGTTTTACAGTTAATTCTCATAGTACAATTCATTGACAGAGGTCCTGCATGGAAAGTAAGTACACAGTGACTCCTGCAGTTAATTTAAAAATGAACACTCTTATTTATGATGTCAGTGATCACCTGAGAATTTTGACTTGAACTGCCAAGGCTATGGAGCCTTTTGAGTCCACAGTCTCCATCAGTGCTATAATGTATTTTCATTTCTTCAAATGTTTCTCAGTAGAATAATCAGAGACAAAGCCAAAAGCTATTTTCTATTCTATGTCTTACTTGAATCTTCTGTTATTTAAAAATATTTATGAGCTTGATAGAGAAAGAAGTTGATGGAGACTGAGAGAGATAAATAGCTCTCATGCACTTATTTACTCCTTAAGTAACCATACCAACCAGAAGTAGGGCAAGACTGAAGCCAGGAGTCAGGAATGGAGTCTAGGCCTCCCTCATTGGTGGCATCACCATTGCTTCACCAGGTCTGCATTATCTGGGAGCTAGAAACTTGAGCTGGCCCTGGAAATCCAACCTGGGCATTCTGAGGTAGAGTATCTTGGTTGGCATCATAAACACTAAGCTAAATGCCTGCCCTCTCTTAAATTATTTTTTCTCTGCCATATTTCAGTGACTGTGCATGGTATTTTCCTGGAAATTCTTCTCTGTTCATTCCCATCATAGATGATTTCTAGACTTTTTCCTTGAACACTTCTATATTCTTCTCTTTAACATAGCTCATTCAAGAGTCAATATTGTCCCCCTTTCAGCCTGCTGTGCAATTCCCTTTGACAGACATAGCCCTTTGTGATCTGAAACTCCTATTTCCCTCCAGCTTGGGCATTTTTCACTGCCTTTCAACCATAGGTTTGACTCCCTGTCAATGCCTCTCTGTTGCTGTCCAAATGCTTCAAGTCTAAAATGAAATCATATTATTCCTTCTTCCTTCATGCCCATATACAAGATACACAACTGAAAGTCTGTTTTGTGATAGAGTTGAGATGTTGACCAGAAGTCTTCAATTACAGGTGATGATAGCATTTGAAGACCTGGCTGTGTACTTTAGCTGGGAGGAATGGCAGAACATGAACAATGCTCAGAAAATCCTGTACAGGGATGTGATGCTGGAGACCTACAGCAGCCTCCTCTCCTTGGGTGAGTGACAGCCATCACTCAATGGTAATAGTTTCTTGCTATTTGACAAACAAATGAACACTTTATAAAGTTCAGTGATGGGCAGGTATAGAATTTGAGTCCATGAGTAATATGAATGTGTACCATCTAAGAAAGGTTTCAAATGGTGGGAACATTTGTTGCATAGCTCATGAACCAAGCTATAGTTCTTTAAATAACCCAAGATAGTGATTTCACAGTCTTACATTGTTTCCATTAATAGGGCACTGCACCACCAAACCTGACTTGATCTTCAAGTTGGAGCGAGGAGCAGAGCCATGGATGGTGGAAGAATGCCTGAATCAAAGCCTTCCAGGTCAGTCTGCACATAGTGGGCAGGGAGGCCAAGGCAGAAAGAGTGCAGCAGATGTTGACTGGTGCTGTTTCCATGAATTTTTCCCAAGTCTTACTCCAGAGGACAGCTGGTTTTGTGCATCAGACACATGCATTCTAGAATATCTAGAGTATCTATTCTATTTCTATCTCTAATTCTTTTATTCTTGGTGAACATGAATATATAGGTTAGATACAGTCCCCAAATTCTAACTTGTCATTCTCTACACTTTTATATCTTTCCTTCCTTGTTAATTTGACAACTTATAAAAACTTGTTTCTTACTCATTGCTCAGACTGAGTTCCCACTCATGGTTTTGGCCAGGAACAGAACTTGCTATTTTAAGCATCTTAGGACTAAACCAATAAATGTGGACTTTCTATTTCTTTGTCTCTTTCTCTCTTTTTTTTTTTTTTCACATTCTTTGTGTCTCTCAAATAAATAGGAAAATTATAGATTGCTGGAAACATTTGAAGAGTGATCCTGTGGCTGACAACCCTCTGTTTCATTCTCTTTGTGTCTCATTCTCTCTTTGTGTCTCATTCTCTCTCTCTCCAACTCTCAGGTAAGTAAATAAGTAAACAGTAAGAGATGGTCAGAAATACACCTCCCTGCTGTGACATCAGAAATCATGACGTTAAGCAGGAACTTGTATAGGAACATGAGAATAAGTGATCCTAGACGCACTATGAAAGTGATGAGATTCTGAGACCCAAGGTCAAGTAACCTCATGGGTTTATGTTGAGTGGCTCAGATTTATTAAAGACTGGAGTTTAAAGTATGAATTCTCTCTTATTCTTTGGTATCACTTAAAAACAAACAAAAAGATAAGAAAGGCACAGGAAATGGAGTTTTCTGTGAAAATAGGAGACAACTAATCAAAAACCTCCAGAAACACAATTTATAACAGATTAGTGTTTATAGAAAGAATTGAGAAGAAAGAACCAGGGCTGGTGATTTCAGAATGATATATAAAACACTTTTCAAAGAAGGTGAACATATCCTGGATTGCAGAAACAAACTCTTTAAACTGGTAGAGGGGCTGGAGCCATGGCACTGCAGGTTAAAGCTCTGGCCTGAAGCACCAGCTTCCCATATGGGTGCCAGTTCAAGTCCTGGCTGCTCCTCTTCTGATCCAGTTCTGGCCCAGGATAGCAGTAGAAGTAGCAGTAGAAGATGGCCCACATCCTTGGGTCCCTGCACCCACATGGGAGACCCAGAAGAAGCTCCTGGCTCCTGGCTTTGGATCGGCACTGATCCAGCTGTTGTAGCCAGCTGGGGAGTGAACCAGTGGATGAAAGACCTCTCTCTCTGTCTCTACCTCTCTCTGGTAACAATGTCTTTCAAATAAATAAAATAAATCTTTAAAAAATAAAAATTAAAAATTAAACTGTTATGGAGTGTATACCCAAGGCAGTATATTGGGACTTTTCTGTACCTGTTGTAGTTCTGAGTAGCTGAAGATGTCAGGTTTCCTTAGGAATATGGGGAAGCTGTCACTGAATGCAAATAAAAGTCAATTTTTCATTTAAAATATCTCCTAAATGATGTTTCCCTGGGAAGAGTGAATATGAAAAAAAATCATAGTTTCAAATATTGTTCCTCAAATGTGGTCCTGCCTAGAGTACAGACACACTTAATTTATTTTAAAGATTTATTTCATTTATTTGAAAGACAGAGTTGCAGAGAGAGATAGAGCCAGAGGGAGAGAGAGGTCTTCCATCCACTGGTTCACTCCCCAGTTGGGTGCAATGGCCAGAGGTGAGCCAATCTGAAGCCAGGAACCAGGAATCTCTCCTGGTTCTCCCACATGGGTGCAGGGGCCAAGGATCTGGACCATATTCTACTGCTTTCTCAGGCCACAGCAGAGAGCTGGGACAGAAGTGGAGCAGCCAGGACTCCAACTGGCACCCATTTGGGATGCCGGTGCTGCAGGCCAGGGCTTTTACTTTCTGCACCACAGCATTGGCCCCACATTTCATTCTTCTCCACCTGCAAGTAAATGAACAAATAAAACCTTCCCATATTTATGGTTGAAATATCAGAAGCCCAAAACACACAATTTTTATAAAAATTTTATGGAAAAAAGGAACAGAGAATAATTGGCTGCTAGCCAGCTTGTGAATATTTCTAGTAAGTATTTGTTCATTCTTTAAAAATCTTCTATAGTTGTTTCATCTTTAATAAAGCCAATGACAGTGAGAGGGGAAGATCTATTAGCTCACTCTCCAAATGCCAGCAAAACTTAGGTCTTACTAGTCTGAAACCAAAAGTCTGGAATTCCATTTAGTTTTCTCTGTTGTATTACAGGGTCCTAAGCATGTGATCCATCATTTGCTACCTCCCAGTTTACATAAGTAGAGAGCTGTATTGGAAGCAAAGTAGCCACAGCTCAAACTGTCAGTTTTGTTACGCAGGCGTCCCAAGCAGTGTATTAACATATCTGAATACAAAAGCCATTCTGCCATACTTGTTAAAAATTCAGGTTGTAAACAGGATCATGAGTGAACATTGGTAAATCTATTGGTACAATTGAATATATTAACATGTTAAGGAGAGAAAAAACAAATAATGGTCATAACTAAGTAACTTGTACTTATTTTGTTAAAATCTTACACCACTTGTTTAACAAGTAACTTCATTTCTTTAAATGAGTATGCCAGGAGAAACAATTATATGTGATTCAATGACATGGTTATTTTTTTCTCATTTCAGTTGCCATGAAAAGGGATGACCTGATTTGGACCAACCAGCAAAATCAGGACAAAAATCTGAGTCAGCATGTTATGAAAAATAACAAAACATCAACTCTCAAGAGAGTTGAATTAAGAAAAAAACTTAATTTAAGTTCAACACATCAGAGAATTCACACAGGGGAGAAACCTTATGAATGTAATGACTGTGGAAATGCTTTTCGCAAGAAGTCAGAACTCAGAAAGCATCAGATAACTCACACAGGGGAGAAACCTTATGAATGTAATGACTGTGGAAATACCTTTCGCAGTCAGTCAGAACTCAGAAAGCATCAGATAACTCACACAGGGGAGAAACCTCATGAATGTAATGACTGTGGAAAAGCCTTTGGCCAGAAGTCACACCTTTTAAGGCATCAGAAAATTCACACAGGGGAGAAACCTCATGAATGTAAAGACTGTGGAAAAGCTTTTGGCTGGAAGTCAGACCTCATGATGCATCAGAGAATTCACACAGGGGAGAAACCTTATGAATGTAATGACTGTGGAAAAGCATTTTGCTCTACATCACATCTCATTTCACACCGGAGAATTCACACAGGGGAGAAACCTTATCAATGTAATTACTGTGGAAAAGCCTTTGGCTTTAAGTCAGTCCTCAGCAAACATCAGAGAATTCACACAGGGCAAAAACCTTATGGATGTGATCGCTGTGGAAAAGCGTTTGGCTCTAAGTCAGCTCTCAGCAGACATCAGGGAACTTCCACATATAAGAAATCTTACAAATGCAATCACTGTGGAAAATCCTTTTGCTTTAAATCACATTTAATTGCACACCAGAGAATTCACACAGGGGAGAAAGTTTATGAATGTGATGACTGTGGAAAAGCCTTTGGTTATAAGTCAAACTTCCTCAGACATCAGCAAATCCACAGGGGAAAAACCTTATGAATGCAATGACTGTGGAAAACCTTTGGTCTTAAGCCACAGCTTATAAGGTATCAGAAAATTCACACAAGGGAGAAACTATGAATGTAATGACTGTAGAAAAGCCTTTGGCCAGAAGTCAAACCACATAATGCATCAGAGAATTCACACAGGAGAAAATCATGCATGTAATGACTGGAAAATACTTTTGCTATAAATCACAGCTCATGAAACACCAGAGAATTCACATTGGGGAGAAACTTTCTGAATGTAATAGTGAGGAAAAGTCTTTGGCCATAAGTCACATCTCATAATCCATCACAGAATTCACACAAGGAGAAACCTTATGAATGCAATGACTGGAAAATCCTTTTGCTATAAATCATAACTTATAATACAAAAGAATTCACACAAGAGAGAAGTTTTATGAATGTAATGACTGAAAAGCCTTTGGCCATAAGCTACAGCTGATAAACTATCAGAATTCACTGAGGAGAGAAATTTCATGAATGCTACTTGAATTCTGAAGGTAACTGAAGTGCTATGAAATAGATGAGCACAATCTCTGGTGGTAGAAGTCAAAATAATGATCTGCTCTGGGAAGCTGGACAGAGTGCTAGTGGGATCAACAACAGATTGATCAGATAGCTTCCTGGTACATATCTAAGTATTAATATATGGCAGTTCTTTCCTTAGCAGCATGAATGTTGGAAAATACATGATGTGGTGCATCTTTAGAAGCCATTTCTTAAGTCTAGGTGAAATGCTAGAAAATGCTGCTGAGTAGGTGGCTAATGTGAGCCAGCTGGTCTATATATTGAACTCTGTGGTGCCAAGATACTACTGTCAACTGATCTCCTGAGATTTGGAACCTGAGGTCATTGTGTATCACTGGATATTTTCTCTGATCTTTTCATAACCTTATTAACTTGAGTAAGCAGTAAGAGAGGCTGGAATATTCAATACAAATTATTAAGAAAAGAGTTTTGTACATTTGTTATACTAAAATGTGCCAGTTGATCAAGAACAGATTATACAGGTCCACTCAGTAGAAACCCAGTTGGTCACAAGATTGAATAAATGGAAAATTGTGAACAAGCTTTGTATTATGCATTTATGTTTAAAGTTAATTGATTTGGGGAAAGGTCTTTGTTGCAGTGCTTAATAAAGCACTTGGGATGTCCACACTCTAGTATGAATATGTAGATTTGTGTCCAGTTTCACTTCTGATTCTAGCATTCTGCTAATGCACATATTGGGAGGCTGAAGGTAATGGTTCAAATATTTGCATCTTTCCATTCAAATGGAAAGCCTAGACTGAATTTTCACCTCCTGGTTTTAATCTGTCCTGATCCAGCTGTAGACAAGTAGGTAGAAGATCATTTCCTGCCTCTGAGTGTCTGTTGTCAAAATTAAAAAACAACTAAAGATTCTATAGTTTAGCTTATTCTATTCTTGGGATAAAGGATCTGTTCATGGTTTCTTATGTATCTGTCCTGTGATGATAAGGGCAGGTATATTGTGGCTCAGCCATAAAGTGTCCAAGAGAGAAGACACCCTGGGTGGGGTCAACCATGGCTTTTCCAGAATGGCAATGTACAACCATAAATCCAGAAGCTAAATATTAAATAAATACAGCATTGAAAAATGTTTACTGGGGCTGGCACTATTGTGTAGCAAGTAAAGCTGCCAGCTGCAGTGCTGGCATCCCATATGGGCACCAGTTTGAATCCCAGCTGCTCCACTTACTCAGTTTTCTGCTATGGTCTGGGGAAGCAGTAGAAGATGGCCCAAGTTGTTGGGCCCCTGCACCCATGTAAGAGACCTGGAAGAAGCTCCTGGATAGGCCCAGCTCTGGTCATTGCAGCCATTTGGGGAATGAGCCAATGGATGGAAGACCTCTTTCTCTCTCTCTCTCTCTCTACCTCTCTTCTCTCTGTGTAACTCTGACTTGCAAATAAATAAATCTTTAAAAAAAAAAAAAAGCTTGATCTTCCACAAATGACTAGAACAAAGTTTCTTTATTTTTATAATTGCCTTTTCTCCAGTTTCTTGTATTTCTCATTTCCACCTGACACCATAACACAATAACTTTTTGCTCTTGTTTTTTTTTTTTTATTTTCTCATTTTTGAAATTTTATTTGTTATAAAAGTTTCATATATTTCACATATGCTGATTTAGGAACAACATCACACTGTCCATCTTGTCCTCCCTCCCTACCACATTTCAACCTTTCTTCCTCCTCCTCCCATTCCCACTCTAAATTTTTACAAAAATCTACTTTCACTTTACTTACTGATTATAAACTTAACCCTACACTAAGTAAAACAGCTCAACAAATAGTATGAAGAAAAAGAAAAAAATCATTTCTCAACAGAATAAACAAGGGTTGTATACAATCACTGCATCTCAAAATGTCCGTTCTGTCCAATATGTTACATTTGGGCCTCTGTATTTGTAACTGTAGTTCAGGGAAAACATTATTTCTGGTTTTTTTTTTTTTTTTTGGACTGGTTTATTTCATTAAGTATAATGGTTTCCAATTGCATCCATTTTGTTGCAAAAAACGGGATTTCATTTTTTTTTACAGCTGGGTCATAATCCATAGTGTGTATATATACCATATTTTTTTTCTATCCTGTCTGTAGTTGATGGACATAGCTATGATGATTAGGTTGATTCCATACCTTAGCTATTGTGAATTGTGCTGCAAAAAACATGAGTGTAATGATAACTCTTTCATACGCTAATTTCTTTTGGTTTGGGTAAATTCCCAGGAGAGGGATGGCTGGATCATATGTTAGGTCTATATTCAGGTTTCTGAGGTATCTCCAAACTGTATTCCACAATGGCTGCAACAATTTATATTCCCACCAACAGTAAATTAAGGTATTGTTTTCCCCACATTCTCACTAGCATTTGTTGTTTGTAAATTTCTGTATGAGAGCCTTTCTAACTGGAGTGAAGTGAAAGCTCATTGTGGCTTAGATTTGCATTTCCCTAATGGCTAGTGATCCTGAGCATTTTTTTCAAGTGTCTGTTGGTGATTTGGATTTACTATCTTATGAAATGCCTGTCCAAGTCCTTTGCCCATTTCTTAACTGGATTTTTTATTTTGTTGTTGTTAAGATTCTGGATATTCAGTTGCATTGTTTGAGAACATTTTCTCACAGTGGGTTAATGCCCTGGTCTGAAGTGCTGGCATCCCATATGGGCATCAGTTCGAAGCCTGGCTGCTCCACTTCCAGTCTGGCTCTCTGCTGTGGCCTGGGGAAGCAGTAGAGAATGGCCCAAATCCTTGGGCACCTGTGCTTGCATGGGAGACCCAGTAGAATCTCCTGGCTCCTGGCTTTGGATCAGCGCTGCTCCAGCTGTTGCAACCATCTGGGGAGTGAACCAGTGGATGGAAGACCTCTCTCTCTCTCTCTCTCTCTCTCTCTCTCTCTCTCTGCCTCTCCTCTCTCTGTGTAACTCTGACTTTTGAATAAATAAATCTTTCAAAAAAGAGAACATTTTCTCATTCTGTTGGTTGTATCTTCACTTTGATGTGTGTGTGTTTTTTTTTTTTTAAGTTTTATTTTTATTCATTTGAAAGAGTTACAGAGCTAGGTAGAGATAGAGAGAGAGGTCTTCCATCTGCTGGTTCACTCCCCAGATGGCTGCAACAGCCATAGCTGTGCTGATCTGAATCCAGGAGCCAGGAGCTTCCTCTGGGTCTCTCATGTGGGTGCAGGGGCCCAAGCACTTGGGCCATCCTCTACTGCTATCCCAGGCCACAGCAGAGAGCTGGATCAGAAGAGGAACAGCCAGGACTAGAATCGGTGCCCATATGGGATGCCAGTTCTTTAGTCTAGGGCTTTAACTTGCTGGGCCACAACTCTGGCCCCCTTGCTGAGTGTTTCTTTTGCAGTGCAAAAGCTTCTCAGTTTGATGTAATCCCATTTATCAAATTTGGCTTTGATAGTGCTTCTGGAGTCTTCTCCAAGAGTCTTTGCTTATGCCAACATCTTACAGTGTTTCCCAGTGTTCTCTAGTAATTTGATGGTATGGGGTTGTAGATTTAGGTCTTTGATTCATTTTGAGTGCATTTTTGTGTAAGGTATAAGGTAGGAGTCCCATTTTATATTTCTGCATGCCTAGATCCAGTTTTCTCAGAATCACCATTTGTTGAAGAGTTTGTCCTTGCTCCAGGAATTTATTTTAGCTCCTTTGTCAAAAGTAAGTTGGTTGTAGATGTGTGGATTGATTTCTGCATTTTCTATTCCACTTCACTGGTCTACACATTTGCTTCTCTACCAGTACCAGGCTGTTTTGATTATAATTGCCCTATAATATGTTTTTTTAATTTGAAAGTTGGAGTTGGAGGGAGGGAGGGAGTGAGAGAGAGAGAGAGAGAGAGGGGTCTTCCATCTGCTGGTTCACTCCCCAATTGGCTTTAATGGCTGGAGTTGCACCAATCTGAAGCCAGGAGCCAGGAGCTTCCTCCAGGTCTCCCACATGGGTGCAAGGGTCCAAGGACTTGGGCCATCTTCTATGGCTTTCCCAGGACATAGCAGAGAGCTGGATCAGATGTGGAGCAGCTGGGACTCAAACCAGCCCCATATGGAATGCCAGCACTGCAAATGGTGGCTTTACCCACTATGCCACAGTGCTGGCCCTTGCCCTGTAATGTCTTGAAATTTGGTATTGTGACACCTTTGACTTTTTTGTTGTTGTTGGATAAGATTGTTTTAGGTATTTGAGATGTCTCATGCTTCCATATGAATTTTAGCATCATTTTTTCTAGGTCTGCAAATAATGCCATTGATGCTTTGTTTAGGATTACATTTAATCTGTAAATTGCTTCCAGTAGTATGGATATCTTCATGATGTTGATTGTTACAATCCATGGTCATCGATAATTTTTTTCATTTTTAGTGTCTTCCATTTTTTCTTTAATGTTTTGTAATATTCATTGTAAAGATCTTTGATTTTCTTGATTAATTGCTTTCCAAGGTATTTAATTCTTTTTGTAGCTATTGTATTTGTATTTCTTGTATGCTCATTAAACCATGCCATTCTACAATCCATTATCCAGTTCTGTATCCACTTCCACATGTTTAAGTAGTTGTTAAAAAATTACCCCAAATTTTGTGCTACCATGTCTCTAATTGCTGGGGATATCATAGGAAGATACCACATATGATCTCAGTTACACAGAATAAAATTATTCTTCACAGTTCTGAAAGCTGTGAGTTCCAGTGTCAAGGTGCTTGCTTCCTTTTTTTCTGGTGATGGGTGTCTGCAGATTCAAGTTTTATTGCTGAGTCTTTATATGGCTTTTCCTCAGCATGTGCATGCAGAGGAATAATGCTCTCTTTTCCACTTTTTATAGGTCCACTACTCCTAACAAGAAGGCTACACCTCTGTTGCTAACTTGTAACACTGATTACATTCCAATGACCTTATCTACTAATGTCAACACGGTGAAGGGACAGCTTATATATGAGATCACTACAAAAACTGATGGGAAAATGAAAATTAAAAGATAAGTTTATTTTCATATGGATAGTTTTGAAACTAAAATTTTTCATATTTTTCATGAACTTTTAAAAATTATACACATAGGCTTAAAACACTTGGAGCATAACAAACATTTTAATTTACTTCTTCCACAAATGTATTTAAGTAGTCTCATGTTTGTGGAAGACTTAAACATTATGTTTATCACATCTGGGAAATCCATATTTGAGATAATTATAATAGGAGATTCATGAAGGTTATGATGGAAAGCTAGGGCAGTTTTAAAGCATGTCATTTAATATGATCAAATGCTACTAGGGTATCATGTTGTCATTGAAAATACCTGTGTCCAATATTGTAGCTTCATCATTAGTTTGTATATTGACCCTATAACTAGGTCTGTTTTGCCTTAATTATCATTCTAGGTGAAAAATCTTTTCCTAGCAAGGCTTGAGTTAGCCAAAACGAATGGGATTTATGTCACACTCTTTGTCACCTTTGATTGCTTACCTATAAGCTTTCGGCCTCTGGACTGCAAACTCATGCATATACCCAGAAAACCATAATAGGATCAACATTCCACATAACAGTGAGAATCTAATTTAAATAGCTTTTATTGATTGATGTTGGTTATTGATGCCTACTACATTGTTAGTGGGTCAGAGAATAGACATTGGAAAGTGGACTATTCCAGAGTCTGGGTTTGGTTCCACCATATATTGAGAAAGCCTCAGTATGCATGCTGAGATATTAATGTGTTACTTCAAAGCCCAAAGTCACAGTAGACAACTGGGTGTGGAAAGTCACAGGCTCAGTGCTTACAGGAGATGCTATTTCCAGGAGAGCACAGGAGGTAGGCAGTAAATTTTATTTCACTGTGAGTATCATGGTTCCAAGGGAGAGAGTTTCTAACTTTCATAGCATTTGAGAACTAATGGTTGTCATAGAACATTTAGAGAACTCAGAAAACATAAGAGAATGTTGCTGAGGCCCCCAAAGTGAACAAGTCTGAGAGCAATAAAGACACTGACTGAGTTTCATTTAGATTGATCCTAGTGTTTTTCCTAGGGGCCCTGGTTAGCATGTAATGATTTGTAAAATATCATCATGAAGATTAATCAGTTTATGAATAAGGCATACATTGCCTTATTACCAAGGTGCCTTGTAACAAAGTACCTTGTTAGCAAAAGGTATAAGGTTGTGTGAAATGGATTTCCTTGGGTGAGGATGTCATTAGTATGATGTTGTACCTGTGTCCCTCATGTAAGGTGGATGCAGTTAATATCTTTGAAAATGTTGTGCATTATGTCCAGGCTGTTGAGATGTCCCATATGTATCTTGATGAGATATACTATGGCCATTCAAGGTAAAAGCAAACAGACTGAGTCTACTGATAAAGCACTGAAGAGTAAATTGGCCACATTCTCAATGGATGACAACTGATTTAATTATTGAACAGAATAAAAATATGTGTTATAAGATATGGAGCATAGTAGATGACAAATAGCGTTAAGATTATAATCCACCATGAAGTGTCATTTATTCTTTCTAGGTTTTGCAACAGGCAACATTGAACTATGAAATGTGGAAGAAGAGGCAATAATCACCCTTATGCTAATTAGGCCTTCTCTAATACATTCATTTTTTTCTTTTTTTAAAAAGATTTATTTATTAATTTGAAAGGCAGAATTACAGATAGGCAGAGAGAGAAGAGAGAGAGAGAGAGAGGTTTTCTGTTCACTGGTTCACTCCTTAGACAGCTACAACAGCTGGAGCTGTGCCCATCCAAAGCCAGGAGCCAGGAGGTTCCTTCAGGTCTTCCACATGGGTGCAGGAGCCCAATGACTTGGGTTATCTTCTGTTGCCCTCCCAGGCCATAGCAGAGATTGGGGTGGGAAGTGGAGCAGCTGGGACTCAAACTGGCACAATATGGGATGCTGGCATCACAGGTGGCAGCTTTACATGCTATGCCACAGTGCCAGCCCCTAATGCATTTGTTTTTTAAAAAGATTTCTTTATTACATAGAACAGAGACCTTTTATCCTCTGATTTACTCCCCAAATGGCTGTAGTGGCCATGGCTGGTCTGGGCCAAAACTAGGAAAAAGGAGCCTCACAGGGGTCTCTCACATGGGTACAGGGGCTCAAGGACTTGGGCCATCTTTCACTGCTTTCTCAGACACATTAGCAAGGAACTGGATTGGAAGAGGAGGGGAGCCACATCTTGAACTGGCACACATATGGATGGTGGCGCTGCTGATGGTGGTTTAATCTGCTACGCCATAACACTGTCCCCATGTAATACATTTCACTTCTTGAATGATTTGATTTTTTTTATATTGGCCAATTTTATTTGACTTAATTTGGGCTTTATAGGGTCCCATTTTATCTAGCCAATTTGTCACCTCCAAAAATTGCTTTAGATTTATTACTCATGCAATTGGAGTCTCAGCCACCAATGGGATATTTGGTCACATTGAATTGTGGAAAATTGAAGCAGTGTTAAAGTGACATGACCGTCTCTTTCTGCCGCCATCTTGGTTCCGCGTTCCCCACACAAAATGCCTGGCAAAGCCACAGAAACTGTCCCTGCCACACAGAGCAGGAGTTGCCCCAGCCCCAGGCCGAGACAGGGTCTGGAACAGAATCTGACAGTGATGAATCAGTGCCAGAGCTTGAGGAACAAGATTCCACACAGGCAACCACGCAGCAGGCTCAGCTGGCTGCCGCAGCTGAAATCGATGAAGAACCAGTCAGTAAAGCAAAACAGAGTCGGAGTGAAAAGAAGGCACGGAAGGCCATGTCCAAACTGGGTCTTCGACAGGTTACAGGGGTTACTAGAGTCACTATCTGGAAATCTAAGAATATCCTCTTTGTCATCACAAAACCAGATGTCTACGAGAGCCCAGCCTCAGATACCTACATAGTTTTTGGGGAAGCCAAGATTGAGGACTTATCTCAGCAAGCACAGCTGGCAGCAGCTGAGAAATTCAAAGTTCAAGGTGAAGCTGTCTCAAACATTCAGGAAAACACACAGACTCCAACCGTACAGGAGGAGAGTGAAGAGGAAGAGGTCGATGAAACGGGTGTGGAAGTTAAGGATATCGAGTTGGTCATGTCACAAGCAAATGTGTCAAGAGCAAAGGCAGTCCGAGCCCTGAAGAACAACAGTAATGATATTGTAAGTGCTATTATGGAATTAACAATGTAACCATCTGAAAAACAAGGATCTTTTTTGGTGTTTCAAAGAGTAACTGCAGCTTGGTTTGAAATTTGCACTGTTTCTATCATTAATAAAGTTATGGCTTCTTGTTGGATGAAAAAAAAAAGTGACGTGACCAAGTAATGTCCTTGTTTTATATTTATTAATTTTCTTAAGAGTAGAAGTGACACTCTAAATATATTGTAATGCCTAGTTAAGATTCTGATTTCACCCACACCATTCTTTACACCCATAAATCTGTAGATATGTGGCTTTTTAGAAGCTGTGAATGATAATTTAGATCTTATGTTGTAGGAACACAGAATTAGTGTCATTTTTATATTTTTATCTAAAATAAATTTTAGATTTCTAATTGTTTCAGAATATGGGGCTTTCAAAAAATATACATATACATGGCTAAGTTACTCTTTTTTTTTGTATTTTCTTCATAAATTTGGAAGTCACAGTGACTAAATGGAAGATATAGAGATATATAGAAATCTTTTATATCAGATTCACTCCTAAAATGGCCACATGGCCAAAGCTGAACCATGCCAAGTCCAGGAGTCTGGAACCACATCGAAGTATACTACATGGTTGGCATAAGCCCAAGAAGTTGGGCCACTCTTACTGCTTTTTAGTCACATTAGCAGGGACTGAATTGCAAACATTACAGTTGGGACTTAACTGGTATTCTGATATGAGATGCCAACATCAGAAGTGTTGCCTTAACCTAGTGTGCCAAAACACCAGCTGTGATTTTTTTTTAATCTTTCGATTTTTTTCTTTTCTTTCCTTTTTTTCCTGGTTTTTGATTTAGGCACCTAAAGCCACAGGTTTTTTTTTTTTTTTTTCTAATATCATGCTGCGTGGATCTTCTAGGCTTTTGCAGCTAACATAGGCAGAAGTGAGAATGTACCACTTTGCCTTAGTCTCCATAATATATTGCCCTGGTTGGGATAATCTCTCATAGTTCTTTACATTGGAATTCCAAGTTCAAAGTATAGATGTGATTTCTTCTGGGGCCTCTTTACTTGATTTCCAATCAGCCACCATTTTGCTATGTGCTTGCATGGTACTTCCTCTGTCTTTGTGCATCCCTAGTGTCTTATAAAAACCCCACTCATTTGGATTAAGGATTTACCTCATGATATCATTATAATTTAATTACCTACTTAATAATTTTATTAGTAAATAGTTTAATTTGGGATTAGTGTTTCAAGATATGAATTTTGAGAACAAACAATTCAGCCCAGAACAATGAACAGGGACCCAGTGCTCTGCCTCTGAGGCGGGCAGTTCTAAAGAGGACTAAGTATTTGAAGTTAGGAGTAGGGCTCCTCACAGCATTTTCAATACAATCTCTGTCTTATATGGGCACCTGCATGAACACACATACACACACAGACACTTGTATACACATACACAAACTAGCATGGGATGTCTAAATATTTTGTATAGGTAAAATCACTATAGTATCTGATATGATGAAAATTAGGGAACAATGTGATGAGAAGTAGAAAATGGTAATAAAATATGCAGTTACACATATATATATGATATCCACCATTCGTTGTTCCTAAAAAGTAAACATTGGATATAAGAAATAACCTGGAAACCATGCCTTACATCAATACAGACTAGTCTACTACATGAGAGATGTTTTCTTAAAGACCTTGCAAATTTTAACTAGTTGCTCTAAATTAGCCATTAGGATTATAGAACACATAGGTAAGAAACAATCTAAGAAGGCATAATCTATTGATGCAACTAAAATTTTGGCATATTCTTTCATTTATCTTTTTATTACCTACTAAATTAAGTGCATATTTGATTATCAATGAATTTTCAATTCCTTGAAATTTTATGTATCATCTAAGGTTTTCAAAATTATTGTCAAAGGTGCTTTAAATACTTGAATGAATTTTACTAATTCAATGAACTAGAAGTGACTACTACAGAATTTTTTTCTAAAGATGTATTTATTTATTTGAAAGAGTTACACAGAAAGAGAAGGGGAGGCAGAGAGATAGAGAGGTCTTCCATCTGCTGGTTCACTCCCCAACTGGCTGCAATGGCCAGAGCTGTGCCAATCCAAAGCATGAGCCAGGAGCTTCCTCCAGGTCTCCCACATGGGTGCAGGGGTCCAAGGACCTGGGACACCTTCCACTGCTTTCCCAGGCCATAGCAGAGAGCTGGATTGGAAGTGGAGCAGCCGGGACTCTAACTGGCACCCACATGGGATGCCAGCACCACAGGCAGCAGCTTTACCTGCTACACCACTGCTCCGGCCACTAGAATTTTTTAATTGCTAAATTATAATAACACATATGACACTTTGGCTTCCTCAAAGCCTCCAAAGAATGTCAATAACAATGTGACTCTCAGGATATTGACAATTGATTGATGATAATTGTCAGAGTTAATGTGTCATTACTGTATGATAATTATAAGCAATTCATGAATTAAACTTGAAAGATCTTTATAAAGATTTCTTATAGGACAGCAAATAGTTATATAGACCTACATTCCTCTAAAAATGGTGAAAATTCCTTAAATATAAAGCAGAAATCCAACCATCAAAATGCTCTTTAAATGGTCTCAAAGACACAGCAGTGAATGAAAAAATAATGCTAAAATCTAAGATTGGGACTGGTGTTGGGACATAGTGGGTAAAGCTCCACTTCTGATCCAGCTTTCTGTTATGGTCTGGGAGAGCAGTAGAGGATGACCCAAGTCTTTGGGCCCCTGAACCTGCTTGGTAGACTTAAAAGAAGCTCCTGCCTTCTGGCTTTGGATCAGTGCAGGTCTGGTAGTTGCAGCCATCTAGAGAGTGAACGAGTGGATGGAAGACTTCTCTCTCTCTCTGCCTCTGACTCTCTATAACTTTGCCTTTCAAATAAATAAATAAATCATTTTTTAAAAATTCTGCTAAGATTAAGTAACAGCATGGAAATTCAATGATATTTGAATTTAGACCTTCTCTTTCTCTCTCCTTTCCTGAATCTTTGTCAGTAAACTGCAGTCCAATTGTGTAAAGCCAAGAATGTGAAGTTTTCCTTTCTGCCAGTTGACTGGATACCTTGGATGTGAGAAATCATCACTATTTCTCCTCCTTTCCATGGACCTGTTGCTGTTCCTGTGCACTAGGTGAGTGCAATTTTGAGGTGGGCCCCAGGCCCAACTTGTGGATGGGCTCCACATTGGGAATAAGAACTCTTGGAAACCTGCATCCATCACATGGGATGTTCACAGTACAAAAAAACTATGCATATTTGTGTTTAGTTAGGGTTGGGGAGATGAAGCCATCATCAAGGAACAGATATAGGGTACTGAGTTTCTAGATGAAGTGGTAAATGTGTTCTAAATTGACAGCCACCATGATTTCATATATCCGTTGAAACCACTCAATTGTACACTCTGAATGGGAAAATTACATGATAATTAAGGGAAAATAATATCTCCATAAATAATTAAAAGGTACCAAATAAATGAGCTTTCAGCGCATCTCAAGGACCTAGAAAAACTGCAGCAAACCAAACCCAAATCTAGTAGGAGAAGAGAAATAATTAAAACCAGAGAAGAAATGAACAGGATTGAATCCAAAAAAAAACACTACAAAAAATCAGCCAAGCGAGAAGCTGGTTTTTTGAAAAAATAAACAAAATTGACACCCCATTGGCCCAACTAACTAAAAAAAGAAAAGACCCAAATCAATAAAATCAGAGATGAAAAAGGAAGTGTAACAACAGACACCACAGAAATAAAAAGAATCATCAGAAATTACTACAAGGACCTGTATGCCAGCAAACAGGAAAATCTATCAGAAATGGATAGATTCCTGGACACATGCAATCTATGAAAATTGAACCATGAAGACATAGAAAACCTAAACAGACCCATAACTGAGACAGAAATTGAAACAGTAATAAAGGCCCTCCCAACAAAGAAAAGCCCAGGACCAGATGGATTCACTGCTGAATTTTACCAGACATTTAAAGAAGAACTGACTCCAATTCTTCTCAAACTATTCAGAACAATCAAAAAAGAGGGAATCCTCCCAAATTCTTTCTATGAAGCCAGCATCACCTTAATCCCTAAGCCAGAGAAAGATGCAACACTGAAAGAAAATTACAGACCAATATCCCTGATGAACATAGACGCAAAAATCCTCAATAAAATTCTGGCCAATAGAGTACAACAACACATCAGGAAAATCATCCACCCAGACCAAGTGGGATTCACCCCTGGTATGCAGGGATGGTTCAACATTCACAAATCAATCAATGTGATTCACCACATTAACAGACTGCAAAAGAAAAACCATATGATTATCTCAATTGATGCAGAGAAAGCATTTGATAAAATTCAACACCCTTTCATGATGAAAACTCTAAGCAAATTGGGTATAGAAGGAACATTCCTCAATACAATCAAAGCAATCTATGAAAAACCCACAGCCAACATCCTATTGAATGGGGAAAAGTTGGAAGCATTTCCACTGAAATCTGGCACCAGGCAGGGATGTCCACTCTCACCACTGCTATTTAACCTAGTTCTGGAAGTTTTAGCCAGAGCCATCAGACAAGAAAAAGAAATCAAAGGAATACAAATTGAGAAGGAAGAAGTCAAACTATCCCTCTTTGCAGACGATATGATTCTGTACTTAGAGGATCCAAAGAACTCTACTAAGAGCCTATTGGAACTCATAGGAGTTTGGCAAAGTGGCAGGATATAAAACCAATGCACAAAAATCAACAGACTTTGTATACACAAGCAATGCCATGACTGAGAAAGAACTGCTAAGATCAATCCCATTCACAATAGCTACAAAAACAATCAAATACCTTGGAATAAACTTAACCAAGGACATTAAAGATCTCTACGATGAGAATTACAAAATCTTAAAGAAAGAAATAGAAGAGGATACCAAGAAATGGAAAAATCTTCCATGGTCATGGATTGGAAGAATCAACATCATCAAAATGTCCATTCTCCCAAAAGCAATTTATAGATTCAATGCACTCCCAATCAAGATACCAAAGACCTTCTTCTCAGATCTAGAAAAAATGATGCTGAAATTCATATGGAGGCACAAGAGACCTTGAATAGCTAAAGCAATCTTGTACAACAAAAACA